GGACGTGTTCTCTGAAACTGGATGTGTGGATGGATTTATTACCACCTGTTATCTGAGGATGCCATGTGTGCCCTTTGTCTACAAAGATTTAATTGGAACCTCTGAGAGGTTCCATTCAGACCCTTAGTTTCCTGCATCAGAGGCAGGAAGGCAGAGCTGGAGAATAAAGAGAGGGGAGAAATTATCCTAAGCAAAGATACACTAGGCTGGGCTGTTTTTCATCTGTGCTTATCTATCATCGAGCTCTTTAACTCTTGCCTGGGTCTGAATACAAACTGAAAGACAAAACTGAACCAGAGTGCAGTTCCTGTCCCTTGTTACTTAATGAAAGAGGCTCCATGTACCCCAATTGCTTCTGGAAAGACTAAATCTTAGAATGCTTACAGGGCATAAAAATGTATGCACGTTGTATTCAAGCCATAAAAAACCAGCCTCAATAGCCACGATAAAGGCATAGACTGTGTGCTGGCCAACTTCACATCCCAGCACTAGCTCAAAGCCTGGCACAGAGTAACCGCCTGTAAATAATTCTTGTATAGATGACGGAATGCCTGGCTACATGAAAGAGTATGGCTCACTGTGGGATCTTGGAGTGGTACTTTGGATCTATATTATTCGGACATTAAGAGTCATCAATGAGGCAAAGAATATAAACCATTTACAGAAGAGCAAATACCAATGAGCAAGAGTAGCAGCAGTGTTTTCCTGTCTGTGCAACTGGTGGGTCAACGAGGCCCCCCTAATTGTATGATTAATTTGGGGCTTTAAAATAGAAATGGAGAAATAAGGGGAGGAGACAAGGATATAAGGGGAGTGTTAGTTTCTTATTGCTGCCGTAACAAATTACCACAAACTTAATGGCTGTGCAGGAATGATCAGCATGAATCCAATCCTCAAAATGTGGAGACTGATCCAGTCTTCACATTCTCACTTCTCCATCTGCATCACCAGCTACGCTTGTGGCACTGTCTTTCTGACCCTAGCCACCTGGAGCAAGGTCCGACCTCGCAAGTTAAAAGGACATCATCCTCCAGGCTGCCAAATAGGCAGATGCCAGCCACAAGTTTGGGGAGTCCATGCAACACCCCAACGTTCTGACCTTCTGGTCACAAATTCATGACTGGTTTCCCACTGCATCTTCAGGATGCTAGCCACAAGCTCGGGAGTCCACATGACACCCTTACTTTCTGACCTGCTGGCTCCCACTGCCCCTTTGGGTTCGATAATTCACTGGAACAACTAAGAATTCAGAGAGTGTACCATACTGAGGGCTATAGATTTATTATAGCCAAAAAGGATATGAATGAAGAGATATATCAGGCAAGTCTGGGAGGGTTCCCAACGTGCTGCTTCCATGTTCCAAGGGATGTGCTACCCTCCCAAGAGCAGATGTTCTCACTAACCAGGAAGCTCTCCAACTCTTAGCGTTCTGGGCTTTTAATGGCCAGTCCTTCATGATAGGCTAAATTATGCCTCCTGAGGCTAATGGATGTCAGACTCCCAGGTGAGTCTTTTCTGGTCTGGCCAGCTCCCATTCACCAGCATAAATTCTCAGGTGTGGCCTGAAAGTCCCAGACCAAGGCTTCCTGTTACGTTGTTAGGTGCCGTGGAGTCAGTTCCAACGCATAGCGGCCCTATGTATAACAGAACAAACCACTGCCCTGTCCTGCACCATCCTCACAATTGTTGCTATGTTTGAGCCCATTGTTGCAGCCACTGTGTCAATCATTCTCGTTGAGGGTCTTCCTCTTTTTCACATGATGTCCTTCTCCAGGGACTGATCCCTCCTAATAACATGTCCAAAGTATGTGAGACACTTTAACCAATGCACCACCAGGGCTCCTTATATGTTATAT